TTGCTAAAGCGGTGGGAGGTGCCGGGTAGATCAGACCCACCAAAGTGGTCAAAGACCGAGAAAACTTTGCACTGATCCCATTCGTCGCATCCATTCCATGTTTCCCTCGTGCCACTGCCGCAGGCCAGGAGTTCCAGTGAACTGTGAATCGCAGCACGGCTGTAAGAAATCCTTTCGCTTCCAAGCAGGCCTTGAACCTGGTAACGCTACCCTCTGTTCCTCAAGCATGGGTATGGTTTAGAGACGATGAAAGAGTAAAATTTACTCTTTCATCGTCTCGCGTCATCTTCGGTCTCCGTATTCTACACTATTTTTAAATAATGTAGAATACGGAGACGGAAGATGACGCGGATGATGATGATGATGGTGTTGGTGAAGATGAGTGTGATTGTGACCAGGAGTGGGATGTAAAGAATCAGCAGTTTATTATTATTATTTAAAAAATATTATTATAGACAACACCTCATGGCATGAGAAGAAAATCAGCCAGTACGGGAGATGTGGGTGTTAACCAACCATGGTGAATAAAAGAAGAAAAGTAATGGTCAAGACGGAGAAGCATGGGAGGGACAGGTGATGGTGAATCTAGTGAGCAGATTTAAATGCGGCCAGGGTACTGGCAATATGCGCGTAGTAGCGGGCAGCGCAAGCCAAGCAGAGTAAGCAACAAAGAGTGGAGAGCGTACAAGGGAGGACGTTTTAGCCAAGGGGAGGGCAACAGAGCATCTTGTCTGGGAGCCATCTGTGATTCGGAACCAGTTATACACGTTAAGATGAGGAGGATGTAGAGCTAGTTTAAATTTATGAGCAAAAGTGCAAATTAATTTTTGACGGTGGGTCGACAGTGGGCAAGCATTTGCAAGGGCATACAGGGAAGCAGAGAGTAGAGAGGGGGTAGACTAAACAGGATACGAAGAAGTTTTCTATGGTGGATTTCGAGATGCTCAGCGAGAACCGAGGACAAGCCACACCAGCTAACAGCAGCGTACATGAAAAGAGGCAGGATGTACAGTTTGTAAAACAAAATTTTACATTTGAAAGGAAGATGGAAACAATGGGGACGTATAACACCTAGGGCAGAGCTTGAACGGCTGCAAAGAGCATCAATATGGAAAGACCAAGAGAGACGATCATCAAGCATTATTCCCAGGTGTTTATGGTTGGAAACAACCTTTATGGGTTCTGGGAAATCAGGATGGTGTAAAAGTGACATGGATGAGATTGGGGGAAGGAACATTATTTCGGTTTTAGTCAGGTTGGGTCTAAGTCGCCATGTTTGCATCCAGCGTAGGACACTGCATATCTGAGCCGACACTCGAGGTACAAGAGCCGCTGAGCACGAGGATGCTGACAGTAGGGTTGTATCATCAGCAAATAACGAGACACCTGGGTCTATAGAGGGTAAATCATTTACGTATGCTACGAACAAAAGAGGTCCAAGTATGGAGCCTTGGGGAACTCCAGAAGACACTGGTAGAGGATCAGAGATTTACAGGCATTATCATTATGGTAGCCCACCCTGATTGTTGCCGGTCGTATTCAGATTCTTCTTTCACACGTGCGAGTCATGCTCGTATTAATATAAATTGCAGTTGAAAGGTTTAGAAGCCATTTTCATACACTTTTATACCGGTTTATACTGAGCTTGTATACAAACTCCCATCTCTCCCCACACAACACTCCAGACTTGTATTTTGCATATCACAGGTACTTCGATGACGAGATTAGCGAGGTTTTGCATTCCGAAATTCGGCAAAAAGATTCGGCACGCGGGAGCGAGGTCGAAAATGCACACGAAGATTCGGCATGATTGTTCGGAAAAAGCTCACTTTGCCGAACATATTTTTCGGATGAATTTTCTTGTTGAAGAGCGCTATAGCTATGCTAGCGCGTGATTTATTCAAAGATGTTTCTTATCTCGGCATGGCTTCGCAGGCGTCTTTGGCGACATCAGCATCGTCAGCTACCTCTGATTGCTCCTCTCCACTGCCTGTCTACTCTCTTTCGCCTGGAGTGTCCTCACCGTCATCTGTGTGGCTGAAAAGACTATGGCGATACGCATAAAATTTGACTTGGCCATGGAGTTGGTTTTTCTGAGGCGACTGAGGAGGCAGGTTTGGCCCTCGACTCTTTGGGCGATCAAAATTCGTCGGAATCAGCAAGAAAAGGAGCACGGGACAAAACGTTGCTGATGCTGGGGCTCACGAAATGATAACACATCATTTTCGACTTGCAAAACAAACGTTGGTGCGAAAATTCGACATTTTGATGTTCGACAAATGCCCGAAAAACGCCGAGCCGAAATTCGGAATGCAAAACCTCACTAATATAAACTGGTATATAAACTGGTGTATAAACTGGTTTATCACTCTTCTATATCGACCTCCACTAATTCTCGTGATCCTTGACTGGTCCTATATTACCCATATCGCCGCAATATCGACCGCTTATATCGACCACTTAGGCATTGTAATCTTTCGACTTTGGAGGGACTTAGAATTTTTCTCTCCACTTCAAAAAGAAAAATTGAAAGAAAGAAGACAAAGGAAGAGAACAAGCAGGATTCGAACTCACAACAGTATGAACCTCAAGCAACCCCTTATACCACCCAGCCACTGTGATGCAGATGCTGAACCCTGTTGTTCTTACAGTCTTGTACCCAAAATAGGCAACATCCTATGTACACTATAGTACAAATGCTATACTAAAAAGGTTACAATAGCTCCTAAAGGTTCAAATTTTGGGGTATGGCAAAGGAATCGTGATAAATAGGATATTGACCTCGACTTCGGTCTACATGGGAAATATAGGCCTCGTAAAAGACCTCGGCGGACCTCGGTCTTTTACTCGGCCTATATTTCCCATATAGACCTCGTCTTGGTCAATATCCTATACTTATCGCCTTCTTAGTATTTGACCCCACTAATTTCCCTGATACCTAAGCGGTCAAATATATCGCGTATTTGACTGCTTAGTCAAATACACGATATATTTGACTACTTATATTTGACTCCTTAGAATTTCTTGGACTTAGAAATTTTCTCTCCAACTTAGAAAAAGAAATTTTTGAAGAAAGCAGAAATACACAAGATGGGATTTGAACCCACAACCTTGTGAATCTCAGTCACTCTTCCTTACCACCCAGCCACTGTGCTACCGATGCTGAACCTAGTTTAAACAATGATCTTGACTCTTAATGCAGTACAATGCGGTATAGGCTATAGTATAATACTAGAATTACAAGGATACCGGTATGTCGTATATGAAGAGAAACTATTGCGTGGAGAACACGATAAATAGATTATAGACCTCATAGTTGGTCTATACAGGATATATAGACCTCGTAAAAGACCTCGGGGGACCTCGGTCTTTTACTCGGTCTATATATCCTGTATAGACCTCCTAACCGGTCTATAATCTATACGTATAAACTGGTATATAAACTCCTTTTTTTTTTTAGGATCACACTAGGGGAGTTTGTATATCAGCTCAGTATAAGCATAATATAACCTACTCAGTTGATTATATGGGAAATATAAACCAATATACAAACCTCGGCTTCGCCTCGGTTTGTATACAGGTTTATATTTCCCATATAATCAACTGGTTAGGTTATATTATATACATACATGTACAAGCCAGTGTCGTGTGTACAGAAGGAAAGTGTTATCAACTATTAAAATTATCACCCTGTTTATAAAGTAAAACTGTTCACTTTGGCCGAGTAAAAAAAATTACTAGATGATCGTCCTTTTTTTTGGAAAAATCGGGGAGGGCGGGAGGATTTTATTTTTATTTTTTTACTTTTTACCCTCTCATGCACACAGTGTACACAACAACATCAAGGTTTTTTTTCTCTTTTTTTCTTTTTTTTTCTTTTTTTCTTTTTCTTTCTTCAGCAGATCGATACTGACGTTGTGATATACTAGTAGTATGTGGTCCATATAGTAAAGAAAGTATTAAACAAAGCGTGCACATGTTTCCTGCATCCGCGATCGGTAAAAAACCAACGATTTCGGCAAAAACTCACGATTTAAAAAATAAAATATTTCTTGGGGCGCTGACAAAAACTGGGGCGGACGGGGACGATCATCTAGCTTTTTTTTTTACTTGGCCTTATGGTGTTCAAGTGAGTGTGGTACGTTGACCCTCCCCCCCCCCCCCTCTCCCCGCAGGGCCCGCACACACTTTATCCCCTGCTTCTGTTCATGGTTTGTTTTTGCTTGTGCCGGTGCTATGCGATTCATACGTGCATTCTGTTGGCTGACTGCTGAAATATCTCTCTACTCTCGCTATATTGCTTGGTGGGGAATACCTCAACAAGATAGTACTACTACTACTACTACTACACCTGTACCTCTGCCAAGGCAAAGAAGCCATCTCAGATCTGGGTTTGGAAAACAGTGTGTATCACTGTACGATTGTGCAGCAGACAGCAGTGGAAGACTAAACTACTTTTGCGATAGCATAAAATGGACACTACAGATGTGTTTTAAACACATCTGTAGTGTCCATGTACATGTATGTTAGCATGTTCTGCTTATCATAATTATCAGTCTCAAAATACATGTACAGAGCTTGAGGTTCATTGCTGTATGTCCATAAAATATGAACAATTACATGACTGTACATTTCCAGTCAAAAAACGGAATGAAGTAATTGAAACCACCCCGGCCCCGTAGTGGGCCCGTACTAGCCTAGGACTAGGTCTGTTTTTGTAGTTTTCGTTTCTATCGCCAGTATCGGTATTTGTACTACAATCAATGACCGGTAGATCTACCATGGAGCCAGGGTGGAGATCGGATTACCTGCACAATCATGATTGTAGTACTTCGCAGGTTGCAGTTGAGCCTGCGCATGCGGCAGCGCAGATCATGATTGTCATGTACATGATGTAGATCTACCAGGCCAGGGTCCGGGTGTGGCCCAGGAGTCGTGAAAACTGAAAACTACTACTACTGCTGAGTGAAGGAGACTTCTTCCTCTGAGGACCTCTCGAAGAACAGGCACGACAAAATAATAATAATTATTTGCCTCGCCTTCTGAAGGATAGTCGCAGGCTAGTATAGTGCGAGCCACACTGAGACAGACTAATCAGTCGTAACCATTTTCACTCCTGCACTGACACTGTGCGTGCACGTCGTTAGTAGTGCTAGTGTACAGGTTTCACATGTTCACGAGGAAGCGCCCGGAAACTCGGGCGTGAAATTCGAAAGCTCCTCCAGCCGGAAAATCTCACGCCAAGTCGTGATACTGATACTACAGTGATAGTCACATTCTCCTTGAAGGAAGGCGCAGGGTGTATGATTGATACTGATAGTGATAGAGTTGTCCCTGGACATTACCATGATGAGGTGTCTGGGGCAAATACAGGTGTCGACGATGTCGTGAGCTCCGCTGTGCAATATCTCGCAGTCTGTGATCTAATGAGCAGCGATCAGCGCTGCAGCTAGCTCTTCGCCAGCCTGCCACGTTGGTGTCCGAAAAAGAAAGCAAGTGGTGCTTTTCCGTTGTTGGCCTCAGCTGTACTCGCGGTGTCGGCACTCATCGCTGTGACGGACGGAAAGTTTAGTTTTGACGAGTGCCAGTAAAGGAAGAACGGTGTTTGACTGCAGTTTCTGGCGTCCGGTACTGTATCTGTTGCTGATGAGCGTTGGTGAGCGCACTCGGCGTTCATCCGTGCGTGTTGGACATGGGCGCAGCTGTCCGCTACTAAGTAGTTACGCAAGTGGCGGTGTGCGTGGCAGCGTGATGTTTGGCCGAGACTTACTCTCCACCGCGTCAGTAGCGCTGGTGCTGGTGCTGGTACTTCTCGTAAGTGGTGGCAATCGGCAATGTCAAGCATTCGATATCTGCATGAACCAGACATTCTTCAGAGTGTTGGAGTTAGGTAAGTCTCACGATCACTACAGTGTAGACATGCAATGACATGAAGTATTTCCCAACTCCCCACTGAGCTTTCAGACAGTCAACAGTTTCATTTGTTTTCCTGGTACATAGGTAGACTCCTTCTTATCTACATGTCATTGTATGTTTTGGTACTGCGTAAATCTGCATGCCTCAGAAGTACAATAGTGCAAGTTGCAATGCAGCAAACTGGTTACTTCAAGGAATTCATTAAAATCTTAATTTACTATGTACACCCTGCTCTATTAGAGTCTTGAAGCATTAATTTTCTTCCACATAATTAATATGCACTGTGCACATGGTACACGTAGCAGGAAAAGCTTGCAACTTTCTCCGTACTTTCACAGTATGGATTACACAGCATGGACGACTGCAGAACATGATTGTATTTCTCAGTTGCACCGGCAATAGTGATGCATGCCGCAACACTCGTACATGTACATCGGGGTAAAATTGAAAGATTTAACCACACTGGTGGAGAGAGGCGTTGTATTTCGAATTTCCGCAAACAATTTCGGCAGTAGCTTCAGTCAATATCTGGTCGTGCAAGAAAGCCTTGCTTACCATTGTACAAGCAGATCATTGAGGCTGGGGTTGGGCTTGTATTCGTATCCAAACGAAGCTGTCAATACAAATTCAGCCAGCTACATGTTTGTGGCTACTATTGGGGGGGGGGGGGTCATCTGGATGAACATGCTTCTACCAGTATTGAAGATATGAAACAGCCCTGTATTCAAAACGGTACCATATTCGGATGCAGGTAGGTTTTCCATTCCGAACACTAGCTTGTTGTTCAATAGTCCGGAAGCTATAAGTAAGTATCAGGCAAGTTGCGTAAGGGTAGATACCATTCCTCGCATGGATTCCTACATCAGCTAGAATCTGCTTAGTGGCAGTGGTGAGGCTTCCTGCAGCTTCATTCATAGGAAAAAGTTTCCGAAACCCTTTAATTCCTAACTAGAATCTGTAGAGAGAAAAAAGGACCTATAAGTTACTACTACTTCCTAGTGTTGAGTAGGAAGAGGACAGTGATTCAGTGATTCAGTGATTCTCCCCAGACACAATGGACAACGGGTAGTTGGGAAGACATTTATTATAGCCGAAGAGACGGAGACCAAGACGAACGAAACGACTACATTGTGGAAGAGAGAGAGAGAGAGAGAGAGAGAGAGATCGAGTGAGGGGGCAAGATAAAGGGCCTGTGTAGCTATGGCACAATGACATATGGGCGCGCAAGTAGCTACCCAGGCGAACGGAACAAAAGGTAACAAAAGGAGACAACAGGTGAGTACGACGAGGGTGCATGCAGGCCAGCTTGGAAAAGGTTGTACAACGTACGGGAGGAGGTACCTAACACTAGTTATGACTAACAGTCCACCAAGGTGACGAGATAATATACAGTCAGATAGTGCGACAACGCACTCTATTGGCCCAACATCCGAGTTTTTAAAAAACTAGAATCCGGTTGGTAATATGCAAACTAGGGAACCATGCTAACATTGACATGTTGTGCGCCACTAAAATCTCCGTACGGACATTGCACCATTCCAGGGGCGATCCTTGATCCAAAACCCTTTTCAAGAGGGTATTTGCCGCCATGGACTTTCCAAAGTTTGACTACTTCTTTCAACCTCGTCTCAGCTTCCAAAGACTTCCTGAGATTTAGAATGCAAACTCTGTAATTTTGTAGTGTGACTATGCAAACCGGTTGTTGCAAGGTGAGAATGCACACGAAAACTGTGAAAATTGCGTTCAAGGACCTGGGCATTACCCACCCAACTATAAACTATTGATTTGACGTAGTAGATGCTACCTACATAGAACACTGCACTCCATGGCAGGGTAATGATTGGCTGGAAAATCCTTATTCTGGCTGCTCCCCCCTCCCCCCCCCCCCCCCCGATCATAGTCTAGTGTAAACAGTTGGATACGGAATTAAGCTTTTGTGTCCTCCCATATGGTCTAGTGGTTAGGATTTCTGGTTTTCACCCAGACGGCCCGGGTTCAATTCCCGGTGTGGGAAACATTCCTTTTTTTCTTTGGCGCTCCAAATTGCCTTTTCCAGAGCTACCTCTAAAACCTATTTGGGGCACATGGATCTAGTTTGATTTGATTTCTTTTTATTGTTTTGACTTACAATTCTGTTTTTGGATCAAAGAACTCTTTTTTAGCACACATACGTGGCAATGATTTGCACTCAAACATTCTTAGCATGCGTTTTTGGCCATACTGCATTATCTATAAAGTTCACGGCACGGCATGGTTTAGTTACGACCCACCCCACCCACCTGGGGTTTGAATAAGGCTAAATCAAACTCTATGGAACTCCATGGAACAGCTGGAGGTTTGTGTACCTCCCCAAAGCTTACCAATTGTGTGCTCACTGGCAGAGTAGTCACGGCACAGTATACAGACCATTGGTGAAGCATTGACTTTGATCCATTTTGCCGTGTGCTCGTTTGGGACCGACAGTATGACCGGGTGTTACATCTTATCCCCCCCCCCCCCTACAGTGCACTTGAATCGGAATCATTCGAACGATGAACCTTGGACCAAGACCCGCTTCAATGCGATTATAACAATACCCAAACCACTGCGGCTCTGGAATATGGATACTATCTAGAAGTTTCCCTATGACCGGTGTAGACGTGTAGATGTGTCAGCCCTTAGTACAATACTGATATTGTGATCACTCACTCTTACGGATGCTGGCTCTGTACGGTTTCTGTCCAGGAATACCCAACTTTGGAGTGCTGGCCCTTGCGGACGAAGAAGATGTCTGTGCAGATTGGACGGATCGGCAAGGTGGTGTTCAGTTTCTCGATGCCACGCAAGAGCTGTACCTGTTTGGACAGAAGTCTCAGCTACTATCCACTGTTCAGCCATTGCTCTATCTACATACATATCCAATGGTAGGTGGTTCTGGTGTCACAGCAGTGTTCATTAAAGTCACCTGTGTAAGCATTAGCACAGTAAAGCCGAAATGAAACATATCAGGATGTACAAGTATATTCAAGTTAGGATCTTTTTGAATCATGCTGAATAATGTTTGGGGTCTTGCATACTAGCAGTAGGCCGACGCGTCCAGTACCGTAAAGTCGCGGATAAAAGCCGGGTTTGCATACAAGCACATCGCGGATAGAAGCCTGAAAATCAAACGGGTCAAATGCATATAAGCCTGTCGCGCGTAGAAGCCTGGCTTTAATGCAAGCGCGGATCGGGTAGGTCAAGAGTGCATGCGCTATACACGGTTTCATAGTAAAACTGCCGCCATACCGGTAGTCAGTGGTAGATCTACGCGTGTCGCGCGTAGAAGCCTGGCTTCTATGCAAGCCCGGATCGGCCGATGTGCATACAAGCCTGGCAAAAATATCAGTGGTGCATATAAGCATGGTTTGCATACAAGCCTGGTTTGCATTAAAGCCTGACGCAGAAAGCGGCTTAAATGCTTACAAGCCCGGCTTTTATCCGCGACTTAACGGTATCTGCATGTGCGACCATACTTGGGTGTGCTTTGTTCTGTGCTGTTCATTTTGCAGGAGGAGGTACGTTACAACGTGACATGGTCGGCTTTCCACCCACGTGATGTAGATAATGGCCTGGCTCTTGTGTATCAGAAGTCTCCCTGGTCTGGTTATCTAGGCCCTGACCAATATCTCAGTAAGTCATTTCGCTCATTTCCCTCACCTTGACTCGAGACATGCGCCTTGTAATCAGCGGCTTATCGGAGCCACAGTGAAAAAGAAAACGTCCAAGTTGAGGGCTCACAGTTGCGTACATTCAACATCAGCGCCATTTTGTTCCACGAGGTGCTGGCGTGATCAGTGAAAACCGTGTTTCAGCCAATCGCCGGACTTGGAATTTTGAAAATTTTTGGAATCTTCTATCGATTCGTTCTAAAGATTGACTAACCGGAGAGCCATGAAATTTTCAGGGAGGATTCCTTGGCTGAAGGACTACATGATTACCGAACGATTTTTTCAAATCCGTGCTCTGAGACTCCACGAACGGGATTTTGTGGATTTTCGTCCCTCGATGGGACAAACATCTGTGGGAATCAATGACACAAGCTCGGTGAAAACCAAAAATATGGCTCGGTAATCCTCTGGCCAGGTCCCTCAAGAAAATTTTGAGCCATAGATCGTCAAAATCGGAGCAACCATTGTGCAGTTCTTAAATTTTGAAGCGCGCAAGGTCAAGAAGAAGACCCGTGCGCAAGCTGACATGACAGAAAATGGCAACTCAAGAAAAAAATTATTATTTGAACACTACAATTGCGACACAAGCACAAGGCAGTTGACTGTTTTTAGCTTACAAATGTAGAGTGAACTAGATTAGTTGCTTACCTGTCCAACTACTCCTCGAGTTCTGCAGCTGGGGGTTGCTCAGCTTGCGCTGGGGATTGCAGAATGTTTGTAGCTGGAAAGCGACGCTCAGCTGCCAGATGCACTGTTTGCTTCTTGGAGGCGATGTGCTTCACACCATGCTTCCGATCTTCTTTCTCCAGCTGAAGCACTCTACTGGTGGACTCCTCTCGAGACCGATGGCGAGACAACGCGTTGCTGTAGACCTCGGCAGCCGTCAGGGTTCTCGTGTCGGATTCTGTTCTCACTAATTTGAGAGCAGATCGTGCCTCTGCCTCTTGCTCATCGGTTACGCTACTGCTATAGTTCTTCATGGAGGAGATAAATGTGCGGATTGTTTCATTCGTTGTTCGGGCAACAGGTTGTCCGCCATGCAGGATGTTCTGGGCGAACAGTTGCATTGCTTGCCGACTAATCTCGGACTCGTTGGCACTCAAATATATGTTAGCGAGATTGAACTGCCTCTCGGCTAATACGTTATGGACTGGCAGGCCAAAGATGTGGTGGCAATACCAGGCCCATGCGTGTGGCTCCCCTGCTGCTGTTGGTGGACCAACTTCTGCAGAATTGGCCAACCCAAGAACTTGCCATACCTGGCTGTATTGGCCAATTCCTCCGCCGCTCCTGCTTGCCCTTCTGACCTGCAGCAACTAAGGTCAATATGGCGAACTCGTCGAACCAATGCGTTTCCGGGTTGTGGAGCAGACATGATGGCTCGTCTAGAAGGCCATCAGGGACGCACAATGCCGCAAGTGCCGACACGGGTTTCATTTCCAGTGCTCTATCTACTAGGAAAGTATAAGTATCTGCTGTGGCTGTGGCAGGTCCCTGCCGGAAAAACTGCTTGTATTTCATGGCAACACCACCTAGCACACGAAATACAGCTCACCAAAATAAATGTCGCAATTGGCTGTGCGCACCAAGAGCGAATAGCCATGGGAACACTGGCCAGCGCGTTGCATGCTTCTCCAGGCTCGTTGTGATGGCACTGAGGAAGGGCTTCTGCACATGGTCGGTTAACCTGTCTTGCGCCGCTTTCTGGAGCTTCTCAGACTTGGCGGTGTCAGTGAGGGGCGTCGCAAACGACGGATGTTTGCGCATTAACGTTGCCATGTTGATGTCCATCATCACTTTGGCTGGCCATTGACGGGCAAGATAGCCCGAGCTGAACTGCATCTCATTGTCCGGTTGCTGGCAAGCGGCCAGAGATGGCATAATGAGCTGGTCGAGTACTTCGAGCAGCATGGTTCTCTCCACATCCAGGACGGGATTGGCAGCCATCCGTAATATGTCCTCCCAGATGCCGAAGTGGTTCATGATCTTCGGCATCTTCTCCACAATGCGGCGTCCAAGTGCCTGGCAAGCGTTGCCGTATTTTGCCCACCACTGCAAACTTTCATGAATGTAAGTCCATCTTGTTTCTATAAACTCTTGTGGCAGAGGTGGTGGCACTGATGTTATCTTCTCACTGACGTAGAGTGACTTGTAAAAACTCGGTCGCTGCTTGTGAACATACCCAACTTTGAAGTGCAACTGAAACAAATTGAAATCTTGTATTGCTCCACGCTGACCGAAGCCATCTGTCATGGCATTTCGTAGAGCAGTGTTCAAAATATGTGGATAGCATCCGATAAATACTGTGGGTACACTGAACTTCTTACCCAATTCCACTGCTTGACCCTTGCGTGCACCGGACTGTGTGCTTGCATTATATTTATCTCCCATCACACCACAAATCTTGTTCACACCATACACCTTCTTCAATACATGGTAATCCGCGTCTGCCTGGTCTGCTCCTCTTCCGGTTTTCACAATAGTATTGGCAAGCAGGTACCCAACTGGGCCATCTCTTTCCGCAGACCAAGTGTGCACGCCCAGCATGTGCCGGTCTTCCTCTCGTTTATTTGAATCATCCGCGAAAACTGCAATGTCGAACTCTGTTGTTGAAAGTTGCTTTCGCAGAACAGCTTTATCTACTTCTCCTAGTAGTACATTCCCCTCAGATAAGGTTGCTGGAGAAACTGCTGTGCCAAGATTGTTGCATGGTGGTTCACCGGTGAGAATATGATGGCAAAGATGGAGTGCTACTGCAGCCTTCTGGTTGCTGAGCATGCACGCAATTTTCAGATAACGAACCTCCGCCATGAAACGTGCACTGTGCCCCTTTTGTCCTTGCAAGCTCGCTTTTATCCTTCTCCAGGGCTTCCAGGGCTTCGATGTTGTCTCGACTGCATGCAGTTGATTCATTCTTTGTTGATTCACCGTGTGATGTTGGCGTACTATGCATTGCATCTGTTGGACTCAATGCACTGGGGTCATCTTTCTCGGACTCCGGGTCTTTGATATAATCGTGACTGCATGCGGCTGGTTCATTTTGTGTCATATCCCTTTGGAGAGGTGATAGGTCCGCACTAAGTGGTACATCGGTTATGCTTCCTGCACTTGGAGCATCCACTGCCTGAACCTAGAAAACAGTCATAATTATGATGCAGAGAACAAACACTGTGTTGGCATCTTACGAGTCATAGTTAGCCATGAATGTATTGTTTCATAATCTTTCATGCTATTCTTTTATACCGCTTGTATTGGAAGTGCTCCCAGGATAGTTACGCACGTGCTGCCCTTCTTTGAAATAATTCTACTTGTATTTAGTTTATGGTATATGTATTGCTTCTGAGCTAGATGAGGATCTACACTTCACTTTCTTTTTTGCTGTGAAACCTGATGTTGATATCATGATGGCACGCAAGTATTAAAAAAATAGTACTACTTCAAGGAATTGCAAAAAAAAAGCATTCGACCTGCAGATTTACCTCGCCATCAAGTCGTCCATCCATGTCAGCACGAGCCACGCACCCAACAGGAACATTTTCCTGGGGTAGTCCAGCACACGTCATCGGTTTAGGTTTCTTTGCCAACCCAAAGCGGCCCTGGTTCTTTCGTTTTTTGCAACGGTAATCCATCCCTGCGCTGCCCTTCGCACACCTAAGCTCAAAGGGGAAATCAGGGAGGGTTACCTGTCCTTGTTGTTTTTCAAGCCAAGCAAAGGCAGCTCAGCTGCTCCTCCGGCCTCTGCTCAGCAGCGCCAAGACGTCTCGTCTGGAGATAGTCTCCTTGCAATAAATGCGAGTGTTACTTGAAACCAGGTCATAGTACGACTCAGCAAAACCAGATACCTAAGAGACCGAGATATCCGCCAATCCCGGCACGTGCTACTTCTCAGTGACCCAAGAAGCCAAGATCGAGACACAGACAAGTCGCCCACACACAGCGCCTGGATGTCTCATCTCGACTCTAAAACAAAGTAGAGATCCTTTCTCCTGAGAAAAAAAAGAAAAAGCAAAGCACGAATCAAACAGTAACTGTTCGCTTGGATGAGCGCTGAGCATGAACGCGATCGAAAGAATCTCCGCTGGATCATGGATTACTGATGAAGTCGAAAAATAATGAATCGTTCAGGCTCACGTGCAAGCTGCGTGACAGCTTGTCACAAATCAAAATGGCCGCCATGTCGCGGCCTGACTACCATAGGAACTGTGAGCCCTAAAGTTATAGTACATATGCAATTGAACATGGATGATCTGACCACCTCTTAGCCTAGACCCTTAACCCTCTCAGTGCCACGGGCGACTTTAGTCGCCCAGAATGAGTATGTGTGTACACATAAATTTGTATCTCCACTTCTACAAACGACCACTCTACGTCTTCAGGAAGACCTTGGCTATCGACTCATCACATCGTTTTGTGTCCGTGAGGATAGATATCGCCAGGGCGAAGCCTGAAGCGCGCGCGCTCGGACAAACAATTGTCGCGCGTAGAAAACATGACGTATGCGCTTCGCGGATTTCTCTATTTCTCTCGTGGCAACCCATGCGTATTGGGTATCAAAACATCGAGATTTTCAGTGGCTTTCAGGCCAACTTTGTCCGAATTTCGTGTGTTGAAAGTTGACTGCACTGTGATCGATCGCGCGCGTGAGAAAGTGCGGATGCTACGAAAATGCAGAAAACGGACTTCGCTCAGTCGCCCTCGCGAGGAAGACTATTTTCGCTGCATTTTCTCTTCACAGCTGTCTGCCTGGCCATGATATCTTTCCAGCGAGCCATCGTTTGTAAAGATCCGTGGATATACAGCTGAGCTATGAAAAATTTGAGTTCGGCTCAACTCAGAAAAATTTGAATTTTTCTGACCCCCTTGGCACTGAAAGGGTTAACCAGGTGTTGGCATGCATGACGTATTCCAGATGCCTGTAAGTATACCATCTGACCCCTCGCCATGTACACCATCCGAGAACAAGCACACACACACACACACGCGCACACACGCGCGCACACACACACATACACACATGAATTCAGTCAGATCCCGGGTATGGTTGCATGCTATGTGTGTTCGCACGCGTATGTGTGTGCGGGTGTGTATGTGTGTGTGTGTGTGCATGTTTGTGTACATGCATGTTTGTGTTAAGACCTGAGTCTTGCATTCAGCTGCACAGCAACTGACAAGCAGCATTTCACACAGATCTTCCTGACTTATAACATCACCACCAACAACACCGCCACCAACAACCCGCCAACCCACGTGTCCTTCTATCTCTTCTTCCAGTTCATCTGCAATGATACCAGTAAGTTCTGGAGAGAGAGTGTGTATGTGAGAGAGAGAGAGAGAGAGAGAGAGTGTATGTGAGAGAGAGAGAGAGAGAGAGAGAGAGAGAGAGAGAGAGAGAGAGAGAGAGAGAGAGAGAGAGAGAGAGAGAGAGAGAGAGAGAGAGAGAGAGAGAGAGAGAGAGAGAGAGATAGTACGTATTGTGTACTTTTAATATGCAGGAGGAGGATGGATGGATCTTATCCTTACCTAAAGAACACACAAAGACGCACACACGACTTATTTCGGTGATTTTCTTTTGTGTGGTATGTGGCATTTCATGGCTCGGTCCATTTATGTGCATCTTCACACATCCCCCCCCCCCCCAGCGTGGAGGGCGCACTCAATGAACTCACCCCCCCCCCCTGGCCTCGGAGCTGCACCTGGGTCGAAATTTCTGTCAATCTTCTTTGGAATCCTTTGTGTTTCTCTTTTGCTTGCATTAGATAACATTGATAAGAGATACTTCTTTGAAGTGCCGTTTGTCCATCCTGTTAGTAAGTTCAATTATCATGAAGCAGAGCTGGGAGTCCAAGAATCAGTGATGACCATACTAATGCCTAATGCCTAGTAGGCTATGAAATTCTTGTACCAGCCTTCTTCAATAATAGGAACATTATGATTGTTGGGTTGGGGGGGGGGGGGGCACGTATTCTTCATTAGCACTCAATCTTCATGTTGCTGGTACATAGGGACTAGTAGTAGTACTTCCGCATGTGTCTCCCAATGGCAAGTACCGTGACCTACGCATACACGGTATTGTGTTTCACTAAGTTAGTGCATTTTGTTCCATCTGTACAGTCTAGCGTGTGTAGAGTGATTTTCTTTTTGATGACATTGCGCAATGCCCGAGGTAGCAGAGTGCAGGGTACTGTTAATCAGTTATATTTTGTAGTCGTAATTTTGTAAATGTTGGAAGGCTCCCGCCAGTTATGGAATTAAAGTACTTACTAAAGGCTGTCGGATCCGGGAGGGCTTTCACGACACCTTTCGTTAACCAGCACATCTTCTCCAGGCGTCATGGGCCCAGCCTCCCCGCCCATCCGACTCGCCACACACAACAGCGCAACTGAACTAAAAGTTCTACATAATATCTTGACAAGACGAAGACGGACAGACAAGAAGACCGGACACGACGAGGCAAAACTGATAACTAAAGAAAAGGACAAACGTTGCGGCAGCATATATGAGCATGCGCGCGAAATAATGTTGCACGCGCGACGATGACGTAAGCGTTCCATGGTGTGTACATGTACAGAAGACTGCACATGCAACCAAAACAATGCAACAAAGTCAAGACTAAACCACTACACAATAAAACTAAAGAACAACATAAATAAGCCATGAAAAGTCTTTCACTCTAGACCCGTTGCGCAACAACGCCCTGGGCACTGATCATATTGACACGCTAGTGCGTTACATACAGCTTCAGAAGTCGGTCATGCTCAGAAAGCCTCCTAGTACCGCACACTTGTATAAGTAAGTAAACGGTTCGCACGTTCGTGTTGCAACCGGCTATACAATTGTATTGAGAAACACAACCAGCTTAGGAAGGTTCGCTTGTGCCAGGCCACCACCATGCCTGTGATACCAGGTTGGCAGATGTAACGCCTAACGGCGAGGGTGAGGTGGTAACTCTCACAACCAATGCTCGACAAGGGGACGAACCTCGTTACCTGCATCTATGTTACCCTCACTCCGAGTAGTGAATACCCAGTTGACCGTGGGTGTTGGTGCAGTTCACTAATTGTAAAGTGGTTCATGCATGTGTAGCATGGCTACTTTATGACACGTAATTTGTATACACATAAATAGTACATCGTAGGAATGCATGGATAGCAGTGCGCATACTCGCACTGCCTGGTCTTCTTCTTCTCCTTGTGAGACAATGATCGAATGATAACTACTTACGTAACTACAAGTATGATTGTGCTTTGAGTGCTGAGAGTATACGAGTTACACATGCATCACCGCATTTGTTAGCACAATACACGCTCCCTGCTCCCAGCGCAGGCCTCAAACTCAGGACCTTGTGATTCTCAGGCATCTATTCTCCCCCCCCCCCCCCCAGCATATGCGTCTACATACTGTTGTAGTAGCTGGAGACAATTACACGCACTCAAATAAAGCACTCACTTCGTGGTTTTTACGAATAATCGTAAGGACAGAATATTAGTTGCACACTCGGCAAGTAAAGATAAGAAGTGAAAGAGCCCAAGAAAAGAAAAATGCAAGAAAACATAGCACACGGCGAGCGGCAGCCATGCTTTCTGTCAGTGACCAATGAGCACTCTACAATAACCGGTCACCGACAATATTGAGAACATTCTGGAATATTAGAATAAGCGGCCAATCACAGTTCGCCAAAGAGAGTCACATGGGTAAAGTGGAGAAATACGGGTTTTAGCTATACACGACTCATGAGTGACCCACGGAAAGATACAAAAACATGCAAGTAGAGAAAAATGTAACTGCCGTCAATCCTGGGGTTTGAACCTAGGAATCAGTGTCCGTTCTATCAAATAATGCAACTCCTACACTGTGTTGTTTGCTCGTCGTCTTCAGTTTCCTTCTCACCTCAGCATCTTCACCGCACGGAGCTGTTGGCCGTGATGGCTGTGCTGGCAGTGCTGGTGCTGCTGGCAGTGCTGGCTATTGTCTACTTTGAGTGCTGCTTTCGCCAACGTTGGCTGGACAAGTAAGATATCAACTTTTTTTTACCTTTTTTATTTTTTACTAAAAACCAAAATAACTGGCAGCAGCAGCAGAACATAAAATTAATGATCATCGGGGTGCATACGCTGCTGCGGTGTGTTTTGGTTCTATCAGCGGAAGGCAGTATCGATGAAAGTGTTTAGCTAATGTATGGGCTCATTTATTATAATTACAGTTACAAGTGCGCATCATCTGTTTATGGGGTTATCCAGAGACTAGTAGCCTCTCGAGGAGTCTCCGCTCTTCATAAGTGTGCATGGTTGAGCATAATGGGGGGGGGGGGGGGAGGAAAAATAAGAGAGACAGATATGGGACAGAAAGGCCGGGTAAGGAAATGAGCACATTAATTTTATCAGTATACAGTCAGTTGTATCAGTGTACAGTCTATTATGTCATGGTAAGTGAAAGGCCACACTGTTACGTGTTCGGTCACAAACCAAGTGATCATGGCCACTGGATGTTGGACTTATGCACACCGACTGTCATTCTGTAGAAAGATAGCCGATAGCTGATAGCTGGTCACCTGAAGATGCTAACTTCATGATCAGTGCACGGATGAGCTTGATCATATTCACAGTCTGAATCATCCTCGTTGTATGTCCTATTTGCACAGGCACATGAAGGATACGACTGGCAAAGATTCGGGTATGAGAAGTATGGACCACATTTACATGTACCTTTGATTTCCTACTTCAATGTTGTCAGCATTCAGCAATTTGTGAGATTAGTAAGATATATCCAGTTGGTATTTCAACGCTAATGATGTGACAGAACAGGCCCAACTATCTCCATTATCCGACTAGATTGACAGCTTTGCAGAAATCCTGACTGTTATCGGTTCCTCTTTGTGTTCTTTCGCGGCTGTGTGTTCATGTAGGTGGAGCACAGGCCATCAGTGAGGAAGGCCAGTCAGTGGGATCAGTTCCATTCGAAGGTCTACAGCTGCACCCAGACGATATCATCCTCGGACAGGAGATTGGAAAAGGTCAGACATCTACGAAAGGAAAGGGACATATGGATACATGTTAACCCTTTGCCGGCAAGTGCATTTTGTATATGAAATCCATAACATTGAGAAAGATGCCAATAACTCACAACGAGGGCACATTTTGTATGTGCAAGTTATGTTTTCTTGGAAGTCTGGTACTACTTCTTGACCATGGAAAAATTTATTTTCACATACCTCACACATACGCTGCTAAATTGGCACCTATACGTCTAAGCACGGAAATTGTACATAGTGCAAATCGTCAGATTCCGACATTGACATGAAACTGCCAAAACAAGTCGACTTCGGAGCGGAAACGAACGCCATAGCCATCAGAGACTTCAGTGGCCGTGCCTCGCTCGCAATTCAGAGCAGCATCGCCCCAGAATCGCTGTCCGATGGCTCCGTAAGGTCGTGCGCAAGTCGCGCTGCCCTGCCGTCAATCAGGTACGTAGAAAGTCGATGGCCTAAAATTCCGTCTCTGGGAGACTGTCGACACGGGTATCACTCTCGATGGCTTTCCCACCATAAGCACCATCAGATTCTTCCAGGTACATCACGACGACATCGTCTTCAGCGGCTGGAGCTCCCGATATTTGCGTGAGAATTTACTTGGCGTGCGCTCCGCTTCGCAACTTGAAATTCGCTTGCATCGGCGGCTGGAACGAAGTATTTATCTATCTGTCGTCGGTCCCAGAGCGAAGGTCTGCTAGGTCCTCGTCGGAGAAGTCATCTGAGGACGAAAGGAATTCACTGCGCAAGAGGAAATGCATCTCACGACGTTTTGACGGAGGCAGACGGCATTGTCGGCGCGCGTGTATTTCCGTAAGTTTTCGATCGCGCAGTTCTCAATGAAATCAAATGGGACACGCGTAGATCTCTTCAGCTACGGATAGGATCATACCTAGGCTGTGTGAGGGCCACGGGAAATCCCCGTGGGCTGATGCTTCCTGTCATACCAGGCATGGTTTTAGTATGCATGTCGAATGCGTCGTTTACGACGCATTCAAGTATGGGGCTGCCGGTAAAGGGTTAAGAGTAACTGTCCACCCTGTAACTAGATCCAGTAACTGTAACTGGATACTATATACAGTCAGAAAGTGCAACAACTAAACACAAAACTGACAGAGTACTGAGGCATTCCACAACCTGACACCTAGCTTCAACACATCCCCGAAGCGCTAACCAACAGCCTTCCAACTCGGAATGTTCTAGGTTAAGGTAGACCAAAGAGGGGAAGGTAAGCGCATCTACTTTTTCGTTTTACTTTTCAATGAAATGTCAGCGTCCCCTGATAAGTATGCTCCCCCTCCAGGACCGGTCACATGGACCAGCTTGTATGCTTTCTGGAAAAGATATCAGGCTGTGGTGCATATACATTGACTATCGAGTGGTGTAATACCAATTTGTTCTCGTTGGTCATGTTTGTATCAGAAAAAGGGGCCAATAATGGTTTTCAGCGTATGGGTAAGTATGAACTCGCTGCTCGTTTGTGTTGTAAGTGACATGCCTTGTTCCTGCCTCACGGTTGCGATGCAGGTGCCTTTGGTGTGGTGTTTGAGGGTTATCTTCACGGAGAGAGAGTGGCGGTGAAAACACTGAAGTGTAAGGCAATATGTGTGTTCTATCTACGGATTGGTTAGCTGGTATCAACACTCGGACTCCTCTTGAGCTAACATACTAGTACATGTAGTTATATCTCTATTGAATAGAGCAGTTTCCTCTGCACCTTGTCCCTATGGATGACGGCAATTGTAGACTTGTTGAGGAGTGAAAGGTGCCATTGATGTTATTCATGAGGAGAGTGAGGTTGTAATCAGACTGTTACAGAGCATGCTGTGCTGTGAGAGCAGTAAGATCTTGTCAAACAGTAGTGTTGAGTTCGGAAATGCTTCTTGTGATGATAACATTTCTACCTTTCTACAACTGCTGCTGCAGCCCTTTGCTGATTTTCTTCAGTAGGGGAATACGGGGCAGGCAGAAATGCTTATGCTACTGCGGCACCGACTGTCTTTCTATGTTCAGGTGGAAGTGATATATCCAGCAAACAGCTGTACCGGTTCCTGGAAGAGGCACACGTGATGGCGCAATTCCAGCACCCAAACATCCTCAACCTGGTTGGCATCTGCTTGGAATCAGCCGCACCTCAAATAGTTGTGCCGTACATGCAGAATGGTGATTTGCACTCCTACTTGAAGCTGTTCAACCCAATATTCTCACCAGGAGCAGTGGTCAGTTGAGTGTTTCCATGGTTTGTTTCTTACAACACCTATATCATAGAGACGATGACTGTCTGCATCTTCTTTTGGGCACTTGTGGTATTGTGAGGCATTTGAACTGTTGAGTTGCGCTAGTTCCAACTGTAGATGCCGACAGTCCTGTCCCCTTGTCCTAGTACTTCTACTTCTGAAGTATATTTTAGTCTTTGATGTCATGTGTTCTTTGCCTGTGTCAGGAACTCCGCTTTGAGCAGCTTTTTGAGTTTGCTCTGCAAGTCGCCCTCGGCATGTCCTACCTCGGCAAGCGTAACTTTGTTCACAGGGATTTGGCTGCCAGAAACTGCATGTAAGTCTGTATGGTTGTGTATGTAAGTCGGTATGGTTGTGCATGTAAGTCTGTAGTGTATGGTTGTGCATGTAAGTCTGAAGTGTGTGGTTGTGTACAATACACTCTACCAGGCACTAGATACTAGTGCTAGTAATTCTGCAATTTTCTGGATTCCTACGGTCTCCACCGGTCTACTTGGTAGTGTGCATGTACTGCTGTGGATATTGAAATCCATTGAGAAATGAAGCGGCCACTGGGGCATTGGCCTTGGAGCCGCGAGCACTGCTGGTCCATTGTGTACAGTGGGTGCGTGAACTACAGTGCATGTACGCGTGCTGAAAGCAGTAAGGGCGCCGGCCCCGCCGTCATCCCACCAGAATTCAATGTCCACAACAGTACACCCTGCCTGACAAAGTGAGTGTGAGTACCGTAATTGCAGTGTGAGTACCGTAATTGCATCAGGGCACCCCATCTCTCCCAAGCACACCATCTTGATATCTTTTCGGGGAAGTGACTGCAATCGTACATCACCAAATGATCCTGCGATGCCTTGCTTCACTACTAGTACATGAGCTGCCTGCTGCACATACACAGTGCTATATTTTACACCCTCTGACCTGTCCTCAGAGTAGAGGATTAAGTCCTGCAAGTACATTATGGAAACATCTTCTAAGCGCAACGGGCATGAATAAACTGTCTGAGAAGGTCATGTCGTACACAACTTTTTGTACATGTAGGGAGTTCTCTCATCCAACACCACACTGCATGAGTACGCCACGAAAAGGGCTAACATGTCTGGACGCTCAGATGGTATTTCACAGTGAAATCCTTTATAGCCGCAGCAGTCAATGACTGACACATGGCAAATTGTGTGGTATAGTAATATAATAATTCTGACAAGTTGAATGACTCTCTCGATGGCAGTGGGAGATGTACACTGAGTGATATGCCATGGGTGTTATGTCGCAAAGTCCAGCACGATATGAATAGTTGTAGTCCTTCTCCATAGCTGATGTTGCTGTGATGCGGTTCATACAGTCATGCACACAGTGTTGGCTAAATGACAGATCGAGTTCAGATGTCGAGTGCATGATGTATATCGCTCACATTGTGTTTTTTTGTACTTTTGGCTGCTTGCTCTCACTTCTGCTGCATATCATCTTGTGATGGGCACTCTCGGAACAGGCTGAATTCTGATATGGTTGTCAAAGTCGGCGACTTTGGGCTGGGCCGTGATGTTCAGGATGAGTCCTATTACAAAGTCAGCACAGAGTTCATGCTACCAGTCAAGTGGATGGCACTGGAGAGCTTGCAGTACTACAAGTTCACCACACAGAGTGACGTGGTCAGTACTGGATATTACAGGCTAGAACATGTGCTTTGTACAGAGGTTATTTGATTACATCATCGGCTGGGTTGCGATGCTTTGTTTAGAGTGGCAAAGTCGCGGCACACCGTTGCACTAGCTGGTATGCTACACAACACGGTGAACCAGCCGACGCATGTTATATACATGTACTTTGCTCCCATACGGGAATCTGGTAGCTCACTCTGTATACCTAGCGCCTGTATGCAAATCCCCCGACTCGCGCTATATGATTACCGTCCGTAAGTGAATCCGCCGGCTTGCAACCATGACCATAACATCGTTTGCGTAACCCCTCTTTCGTGTTCATCTTGAATGCACTGTTTTCGGCTCGAGATCTCGGTTGTGTGCATACCATGCTTTGGATATGAAAGGAAATGTCATGACATCAAACATACATAATTGAGTGAGGCCGAATTTTGTGTGCGATATAAAACTCTGGTCACCGGGGTGATTACTGCAGTGTACGTGATGTGCAACAAGTGCCGTCGTAGTGCTGCATGAATTGCGGCTCCATGGAAATATGACTTAGTCTTCAGTGAGACTGCCTATCGAAGCTAGCCGACCACATTTGGCATGCCCGAATCATGGTCCCTAGTGTGCATGTGATCTCATGATACAGGGTCATATCTGTACGAGAAGGGTCGCACGTTATTCATGCATGTGTTGCGGTACTCCAGGAGAGGTGGCAGTTCTTATCAGAGCGGTCCAGTTGTCCAATCTGTTGCTGACCTCGGCACATAGCGCTTTGCGTACTGGGATCCGGATGTGACTTGCTTTTTTAATTTAAATTTTTTTACTATTCCACAAGCCAAAAAAATAATAAGAAAGACGATACAGAGGACATTGAAGGGCCTATAAATATAGGAGTTGCTACCTGTGTTGCTGTTGTTTCTCAGTGGTCGTATGGCATTGTCCTCTGGGAGCTGATGAGTCTTGGCCAAGTGCCCTATGCTGGTGTAGCCAACCATGAGATCCTGGAACACTTGTCCGAAGGCAATCGCCTTGTGCAGCCCAAGAGCTGTCCGGATCGAGTGTGAGTACAGTGGGTGTGTGCAAGCTGTCAAATACGCACATTGCTTTTAGCTCACTAGTGTGTTATTGTGTTATTGTGTTATTGTGTGAGTATGATAGCGGCAGGGCAGTAGTGCTGTGCAAGTCGGATAGGTCATGTGATTATATGCACTGGTTTTTTTTTATCTAATATGTGCAAAGAGGTGAAATGAGGAAGGTGTTGATGCATTAGCATGTGATCAAGTAATTCAAAGTGAAACCAGCACGCCGTTATCAGTGAGGCCGAGACTTGTTGGGAGTTCCAAGTACGCTAACGTTGTGCACTGTTGTCACCTTGTCCCGCCCTGCGTCTCCAGGTATAGTTTGATGCTGAACTGCTGGGCGGGCGATGCCCTTGATCGTCCGCTCTTCTCGCAGATCCTGGCCGCGCTGCGTTCCATTGACCAGTCTACATATGATCTAATGCTGTGTAAGCCGCTGTATCTTCACCATCCGCCTGAGTCTATTGACATGATCAGCCACACCAGTGATGTGTCTGTACCACTCACAAGACTTCCAACCGCCGCAGGCAAAGGTAAGGTATCTTATTGTTTGCACCTGCATATTGGCATGTTTTAGGAATCATGCGGCATGCTGGCTCGTGAGTCCACGGACCTCCATATCAGAATGATATAGAGGTCAAGCTCATCTTTGTACACCAACGGCATACCGAATCCGTGTCTGCCAGAATCGGTCTGCCTTTTATACATGTCTCAGCTCCTTTGCTCTAGTCTCACGTTACTGGCTCCTTAGCATGTAAAATTCTTCCCAGCAGGAGATCCCCTTGACACACCAAGAGCTTCTTGGAAATCCTTGAATAGAGGAAAACCAAAATTCGACGCTGTGTTCCCAGAGTCTGTATGCTTTGAGTTATGATAGCAGGCAACTCTTGATGCTTGAATGCCTTGTCATGCAACATAGCCATTTGGTATTGAGTAGCAGCAGTTGCTGAAGACAACCTTCTCGAAATCCCAGGAGCATTAATTTCAATCGCTTTCCTTGCCCGTTGTCATTATCCACCGATAGCATTGGTGTGAACAGGTTTGTAATTTGCATGTCGCTTTGTGTCTACTTGTTAACCCGGGTGCTCGAAGACTTTGTTGTGGTTTGTTGGCGACAAGCGATCTGTTTTTAGTTGGCTCGGAAAACAAGCAGATGCGGAGTGAAAACAGCGGGGAAACTAGTGGTGGAGATTCCAGGAGCGTCCCCTTTTTCTTTTTGCAATGATTGGTGGTTCTTAACCCTTTATTACCGGATTACTTGCACAGCATGCACCAGGATTACGAATTTAAGCACAATTTCCAACTGCACCAGGTCTTAACTTTGGTCTCCTTCACTTGATTGTCACAATCTACGGCTTGTTGGAAAGCTCTTGGCAAGAGCAACGCCAGGGTACCAAGCTCCATTATCCAGTCGTCACAAATCAGGCGCGGTAACACAGCAAAATCGTCTCCAAGCCTGATATGCAAGCAAATTCGTCTCATCAACGCCATTCCACTTTCCTTCATCGTAGAATGCTCAAATTTGTTTGAGACGATTCAAACTTCAGCTGACTACGTCAAGATCACGTGCTTAGTCGCTCAAAGAGCGCACGAAAAGGGATTTTCCCCAAAAATGGTGAAGTGATCGATGAAATTTTTTAATTTGCCGAGGTGAGAATACGTCGCGCGATATCTCTAGTGTCCGACATCGTAACTCTTCGGCGACTGTTGCATTGGATAGCTTGGAGTTTCCGCTACCAAATAGACTTTTCGATTGTTGAATTTGCACAAGACATGATGGAGTTACGAAGATAATACTGGCCAGCAGACTTTCGATCATATGATCGAAAGTCTGCAGGCCGGTAATAAAGGGTTAATAGCTTCTCCCTAGGCTGTGCATTCTCAGCTCTTAGCTCGTTCTTAATGTTTGAATGTATGTCTGTTTGATGCGATGTCCACTCGAAATTGGCTGAGACAAAATTTCCCACGACATGTAATCAATTTCTATGTTCACTAGTCGAGGGAATGGAAAAAGGGGAAACGTCTGAAGAATATATTGACTCTCGCCCCTAGGACCGAACCAGGGACCTTCGTTTGAGGCCAGCAATGCTCTAACCGCTGAGCTATGGTGTAGCTGTCATTCAAGCAGAGTCCGTTCAACATTTTCTTCCGACTTTGAAACTCACCCTTCCTGTGCAACTTCATGCAGCCCTCATTGCAGGGGCGTTGGAACTGGTGCGGCTGGTGCGACACCAATAATTTCATCTTGTGATTTTTGAAGCATAAAGTATGGGCTCTTTGAGCCCAACTTTTTGACAAATTTCCCCATTTCCCCAGGAGGATGGCCTCGGACTCCCACCTCTTCATGGCCGCACCAATGTTGAATACCTTCCGACGCCCCTGCATTGTACCCTGTATGTTGTCAACTGACCACTGTGAAAACCCACTGGGGTGATGTGGCGCTTCTCCTTCTCGCAGGCCCCTGAAAATTGGCTTACTAAAAGGCCATAAGACAGTGTCCTCTCCTCTACAGTTTGTCGTGACATTAGAATACAAGTACAGAATATGAAATTGTGGGTGGTCATAATTATGTCACCCTGTAAGACGACAATAGTCAGTTGGGTTTCCCGAGCAAAATACTTAGAAGTAGAAACAGCAGCAACAACAAAAGACACCATGCCGCTCGTCCAGTTCAAGCACCCGGGGGGTCTCCATGGAAGAAGATCAATAGCAGTACATGTATGTGACCATTTGAAAGGTCAGATAAGATTGCATTGTGACTTCACACTCGGCACAACCATTGTGCTATTGGCTGAAGAACGCTATGGTATTCGATCATGCGTGAATTTACTACTGCACCTTTGTACATGTTGAGCCAGAAAGACCCAGAATCTATGTGTTTGTTTTCCTGTAGGCTCCAGTAGTATTGGTGGAAGTGAGGCATCGACTCCAATGACAGAAAGTGCGTTGGGTCGCACTGCACATACTCTTGCCGCAGCTGTATCCAGCAGCACTGCAGCCACATTCAAGGTAAGGGAGTCGTGCAGGGCCTCTGTTGGGCACCAGTAGCTGTGGACTTTGCCTCATGGTACCAGCCGTAATGTGGGCACAAGTAGCTGTGGACTTTGCCTCATGGTACCTGCCATAATTCATGCCAAGTATACCTAACCCGCTGGAAAATGGATCTCTGCGATTCCACTCAGATTTGGTATGTTCTATTGATAGTTTCCCTTTGTTCACACCTATTACATGTACACGATTTCTGCAATCTAACTCTCCAAGTTGTAGACTGAAGGAGTAATTTCCTCTATTTGGGCATACTACTATTGGTGAACTGTGTGGTGGTGTGGATGAGTATCGTGTGATCTTGTCAGGTCTAAATAGCCTAGGGAACACCTATTTTTTCTGTATGAGGAACCGACGGACCGAATGAAGATGCCGTGTGAACAGACTCTCTCCACATTGGGATTTCTGTTTCCTGTGGTGCATAGGTGTGCTCACCACCCGCCAAGCCACAAGTGGATGAGGCTTCCAGGACAGCCTGAATAGCCGGTGACATGCGCGAGTTTCCGAGAGGCTCGTGTCAGTTATGCCGCTTCTGCTGGCGCATGGTTAGATCTCTACTGCCGATGTCCCTGGACTGATGTGACATGACTGATGTCACATGACTGATGTCACATGACTGTTGTCACATAACTGATGTCGCATGACTGTTTGCTGCACGGGGAGAAATGCTGGCCGATCTACTAGTACTTAACTTGTCCCGTATATCACAATGTGCTGCAAAGGTAGAAATGCTGGATGATCAGCTCACCTAGTAAAGCTTTGCCCACTAGTCCTCAAGTAAGTTCAAGCACGGTTACGTTTTGAATAGAATTGATAATTTGATAACCATCATGCACCTGCTGTACTGTAAGTAGGGCTTAGCCATTTGCAGCTCTTTTTGTTGTTGTAAAAGTGCCTCCCATTGATGTACATGTATATACGCACTGTCTACAGAAAGTACTGATTTTGCCATACATGTATCAGTGATAAAAGGATCTCGCCATACACAGTTGCATGGTAACATGTTGATGTTTCTACCGTATCTTTCCAGGAACTTCTCTTTCAGGCAGCCTGCACTTTGTCCATCTCCGAACAAATCCATGCAATTGTATGCATTCTCCGTGCATGACCGTAAGCATACTTGTGCACATGCATGAATGCAGAGCAATATTCACTGGCCTCACATGCTCAATCCCGAGTTGTCGATCCATATGGCAAAGATTTTTCTTGTGGAGCAGTTCTGTCACATCTTGACAAGAACAATTGATAGGAGGATTGACCTGCTCAGTTTGAGATAAGTGTGTGAACTCATCACTCACACAAACTTCAACTAGGCACATCTTTCTCACTGATCTAGAGTTCTAGACACAGTATACAGTATACAATACACCACACCACCACATTGCGCTCTTGGCCGATCCAAACTCTGCACTCACATCACCATCACCACAGCGAGGACAATTCCGGTATATAGATTGATTATAATTTATAGATTGCGCAAAAAACAGCAGTCAGTCTAACACCAGAAAATTTAGTTTTTGCATGTACCACAAAAAACAAACAAAGATACTGCGGCTGACGTCTGACTGTACTTGTCCCATAGTGACGTGACGGGGAATAGGCCTCCGCGGAATGTGCCGGCATAATTTCGGGAATTATCGGTGTGATTTTTAAAACGGGAATTATTGGCAATTTTTGTGGAATAATCGGTAAAATTTGAACAATGCCCCCCTTTTTTCAATTTTTTTCCATTTATAACACCCTGATTTGTACCAAAAAGCTTGTGATCCTGAAGTTGATCGCCCAGCCGGTATTTCAAAAAAGAAAGAAGAAAAAGAGCTTCCTGCCGAGTTTCACGCGAACCGTGATTTTTGCCCGTCCAAGTGGCAAAAAAACCGGTACGCGGTACGGTATCTGCAAAAAAAGGGAAGAAAAAAAGCATTATTGTGAGAATTATTGGTGGAATTACGGGAATAATCGGTCGAAATTTTGACCAATGCTCAAAGGAATTATCGGTAAAAATACGAGCATATTCCGCGGAGGCCTAACGGGGAACGAACGACGAAGCGAACCAGGAACTGGTCGACGCGGCAGACCCAGAGGCCCCTGAGGCAATCACTATCCTGCCAGCTCGTCGCACACAGCCACGCCATGCCGCCATACCCGTTGAACACGTCCACTGGTATTGCCTGGGCCTTCAGTCAGCATCTTCCGCCTCCACTGATGAGCTCAGGAGGAGCAAAACAGCTGTCTGGAGGGTCATTGTCAATATCAATCTATACAATGTATACCCGGCGGAATTGTCCTCGCTGTGGTGATGGTGATGTGAGTGAAGAGTTTGGATCGACCAAGAGTGTAGTACTGACTACTGTAGTAGTGTTGGATTATCTAATACCATGATTGTATACCATGATTGTATACCATGATTGTATACCATGATTGTATACCATGATTGTATACCATGATTGTATACCATGATTGTATACCATGATTGTATACCATGATTGCATACCATGATTGCATACCATGATTGTATACCATGATTGCATACCATGATTGTATACCATGAGTGTATACCATGATTGTATACCATGATTGTATACCATGATTGTATACCATGATTGTATACCATGATTACATACCATGATTGTATACCATGATTGTATACCATGATTGTATACCATGATTGTATACCATGATTGTATACCATGATTGTATACCATGATTGTATACCATGATTGTATACCATGATTACATACCATGATTGTATACCATGATTGTATACCATGATTGTATACCATGATTGTATACCATGATTACATACCATGATTGCATACCATGATTGTATACCATGAGTGTATACCATGATTACATACCATGATTGCATACCATGAGTGTATACCATGATTGTATACCATGATTGCATACCATGATTGTATACCATGATTGCATACCATGATTGTATACCATGATTGCATACCATGATTGTATACCATGATTGTATACCATGATTGTATACCATGAGTGTATACCATGATTGTATACCATGATTGCATACCATGATTGTATACCATGATTGCATACCATGATTGTATACCATGATTGTATACCATGATTACATACCATGATTGTATACCATGATTACATACCATGATTGTATACCATGATTGTATACCATGATTGTATACCATGATTGTATACCATGATTGCATACCATGATTGTATACCATGATTGCATACCATGATTGTATACCATGATTGTATACCATGATTACATACCATGATTGTATACCATGATTACATACCATGATTGTATACCATGATTGTATACCATGATTGTATACCATGATTGTATACCATGATTGTATACCATGATTACATACCATGATTGTATACCATGATTGTATACCATGATTACATACCATGATTGTATACCATGATTGTATACCATGATTGTATACCATGATTGTATACCATGATTGTATACCATGATTACATACCATGATTGTATACCATGATTGTATACCATGATTGTATACCATGATTGTATACCATGATTGTATACCATGATTGTATACCATGATTGTATACCATGATTACATACCATGATTGTATACCATGATTGTATACCATGATTGTATACCATGATTGTATACCATGATTGTATACCATGATTGTATACCATGATTGTATACCATGATTGTATACCATGATTGCATACCATGATTGTATACCATGATTGCATACCATGATTGTATACCATGATTGTATACCATGATTACATACCATGATTGTATACCATGATTACATACCATGATTGTATACCATGATTGTATACCATGATTGTATACCATGATTGCATACCATGATTGTATACCATGATTGCATACCATGATTGTATACCATGATTGTATACCATGATTACATACCATGATTGTATACCATGATTACATACCATGATTGTATACCATGATTGTATACCATGATTGTATACCATGATTGTATACCATGATTGTATACCATGATTGTATACCATGATTGTATACCATGATTGTATACCATGATTGTATACCATGATTGTATACCATGATTACATACCATGAGTGTATACCATGATTATATACCATGATTGCCCCTGAGCTGCAGAGAGTGCTCAATGTCAGAGACAGAGCTTAGTACATTATAATACCATGATTGTATAATGATTGTAGCGGTTGTGGGCTACCACGCTCGATTCCCGTAGCTTTGCAAAAGACGTTACCATGGTTACTTTAGTAGTGTCTGGCGGCTAGCCAGGGTCCATCCACAGCATTATAAGTCTTGCAAACTCATTGTAAATACAAGTATATTTTTAGTCTCGGATTGAGAGCCCAGGATTAAAGTGGAAAAGAAGGACCAAATGTTTACATGCTATCCGTTATTTGTGTCCAACACTAACAAATATAGGCAAGATGCCGGTGAGTCAGAACGTGCAACAATTAGCACAACACTGACGGATGTGATACTGACATTCAACGACCTAATGCTCTTCTTGAGTGGGCTCACCTTCCAAGTGCCAAGTTGTTGTTGTTGTTTGTTGTTTGGCTTTATTTAAAGTGGAGTTCCAAAACAGGCCTAAACCTAATGACAATGGTCCCACTGATAATAAGAGAAAAGAAAATATAATAATAAGCGGACAAACAGAACCAAGAAGAAGATACAGCTGTAGTTAGATAACTAATATGAGCACGGCAGCAGGGGAAAAAAAGTCACAAGCACGGCAACCGGGAAGAAAGGAGTGAGTGAGTGAGTGAGAGAGAGAGAGAGAGAGAGAGAGAGAGAGAGAGAGAGAGAGAGAGAGAGAGAGAGAGAGAGAGAGAGAGAGAGAGAGAGAGAGAGAGAGAGAGAGAGAGAGAGAGAGAGAGAGAGAGAGAGAGAGAGAGAGAGAGAGAGAGAGAGAGAGAGAGAGAGAGAGAGAGAGAGAGAGAGAGAGAGGTAGTGAAGCAGATGAGTTCATCCTAGTTGACGGTACTGCCTAACAGAAAGGCCAGGCTTAGCGATTTGAAAGTGGAGCGCTTTCTTTCGAGGCGTGCTGTGTCTGGGAGCTGGTTCCACAGGATAGCTCCAGCATGGCTAATGCGCTTAGCTGAGGATGCAGTGGGGGAGACAGGAATGATGAGTAACTTGCTGTTCCCTCCTCGTGTTCGGAGAGAGGGACTACGGGTGAAAAAGCTTGCAAACAGAGTACTCGAAGATTTGTTCAGGCAGCGCCAAATGAATACAAGGATGTGCATGTGGGTGTATATGCTGAGGGTATGGGCATTCATGCGTTCAAGTAAGGGAGCCGTGTGAGTGCGAGGGGCTGCCCTGCACACCGAGCGAGCCGCACGTTTGAACAAACTATTAAGGCGCTTATCCTGATAAGACGATAAGAAAGGGGCATAGGCAGCAGATGCATAGTCAAATTCTGATAGTATAAAGGACCTGAAAAACTGAACACGGCAAGAAAAAGGCAAACATGCTGCACTTCGATTTAGTAGCCCAATCTTAGCGGCAACGCGGCGTGCAACATGGCTTGTCATGGTGTTCCAGCTCATGTCTGAGTCGAAATGTAGGCCAAGATACTTGGCCGTTTTCACAACAGGCAGCGTCTGCCCATTACAAATGACATGCAGCTCAAGTGCTTGAGATGGGGATGGGGGAATAGGCAATATCTGTGTCTTTCTTTCATTAAGAATTAAACCACGGCCCTTCAGCCAGGTGGCCAGGTGCTGAACAGCAGCTGAAAGGTGTGCAGAAACAGCTTCCGCAGACTCCCTGCTACATCGTATAGAGATGTCATCAGCAAACTGGATTGCTCCCACATTAAACGGTGATAGTTCTTCTGCTATGCCGCGGGCATAGACAATAAATAGCAGTGGGCCCAGTACCGACCCCTGGGGGACACCTGAGTAACTGGTGTACGGGAGACTTCTAGTCTGGCCAACCTGAACGTACTGTTCTCTATCAGAGAGGTAATCCACCAGCCAACAGAGTGCCGTGTCGCAGATGCCAAGTTCGAACAGATCTTGCACAAGAGTTTGATGTTTCACTTTATCGAATGCCTTTGACATATCAACAAAGGCTACACCTGTGTTGAGTCTGTTCATGCGGGCCTCACAGATACCTTCCACAGCTAGCACTAGTGCGTCGGATGTAGAGTGGTGGGATCTGTAGCCGAATTGAGTTGGCGGGAATAAATT